CAAAAAAATATTTATTATCAATTTGAATAATTTGAATATAAATTTTTTAAAGTTTGGTTAGCTAAAGAAATAATTAAAATAATAAAAGTTTTCTTTCGTTCATTTTTATCACGTAATATTTGACAATATATATTAACCAATAAAAACAAAAATCTATAATGCAGGTTTCATTGATTGTGTAACATATTAACTGATCGATATACAGTATAAAAGAAAACTTCCTTCAGTGCGTTTTTGTTAACAATGGAATCCAAAAACGATGGAAATGTTTCGAAGAAACGTAATTAGTTATAATTAATTTTTTTTTTTTTAGAATAATATTTAAATTTTTTTTTTCATTGTCGCTCTAGGTCATATAGATTCGCACGGTCCCCCCGTTCTTTTTTCTTTTCCCGAACCAGTTACTGATTCAGGGAACAGTCTTAACACAAGGCCATACTCTACTAATGCTTATCGTAGAACAATAAAAAGAAGAGATCGTATACTTTATAATAAATACCGGGTACTAACCACTGTCACGTAACATTTAAATTAATGACTTAAATTTTTTTTAAAATTTTAAATATTTTCAACTTTCAAATCAAATAAAGAATAATAATACTACTACTACATCAAGGGACGAATCAAATAATAATAACATTTTGCATACATTAGAAAGAATAGGAAGGTGAGTTTTGAGAAGGTAACTTTTTTTTTTTTTTTAAGTCAAACAAAATCATTCATAACAGTTCATGTAATTTTGGTTTCAAAGGATATTATATGTAGTACTATCATTGATTTTTCTTGTGACCTTCTTATATATAATTTTTAATTTCTTGTGGATTCTTAAAGATGCAATAGATGCAAATGTGGAAGAACATTTACGAGGTCCGTTAAATAAATTAAAATTCATTATTTATATTATATTATATATTTATTTATTTATTGAAATCTAGAAATCATTTGAATTTTTTTTTTTTATTTCAATTTTAGAAATAATTCAATTAAGATCTGAATGTTCAAGAAACTATATAATTAATCGATGTAATCCTGAAGAAAGACTTCCAGCTGCAGAAACTGCATGTAAAAAATGGGAATTATATCCTTTCATAATTTAATGATAACAATAATAATAATAATAATCCATTTAAAAAATTAAAAAAATTTTCCTTAATTAAAATTATGGTTGTTTATTGTTACGTGTATGACTCAAGATTTCACCACTATTAACAAACAAGCAAGGGGTAACATTTATTATAAAGCATTTAACGAAATGATAAAGACTTTAATGGATTGGTCAACTGCGGTATGTAGTTACATTAACTGTATATCTAAGTCAATTTCAAATGTATTTTATTATATTTTAATTAACTTTATTTATTTATTTATTTATTATTATAAAAGTTTTCTGTAATGATAACTATTACTATTGTATATGCATTTGGTGCTCTTATTAAACTTTTAAGTCAGCTAATACGTTTATGTCGATTGCAAGAGAACTAATGATCGCGATATTTAAAGTTAAATAGTAAATGATGATGTGCAAAATTCATATAGAATTTTTTATAAAAAAAAAAATTAAAATTTTCAGATGAACCTTTTATATAGAATTAAGGACATTAAACAATTTCACATCTTTTTGTTGTACAATTAATTTATCAACAAATGTACATTATATATTAAAGTTAAATATACCTTTTACTTTAAGTATTAAGTTATGTTATTCCTAAATATGAAAATAAAAAATAAAAAAATATTAGCACAAGAGATCTATTCACCTCAACGCTATGTACAGCCACCACTCTCGCGAGCTATGAGACTTAGATCGTATACATGCCAAGCAAGCTATGGAAAACCACCACTTACATTCTCGGTATTAATCATCCTTATCGTCATTCATTATGTTCATTACGTTCAACAGGATTAGAGATTTTATCTGGATAAAACAAAAATATCAGTTTATTTTTTATAAGCTTAAAACATATGCAGATGATTAAAATATCATATTCACGTCATCAAAAATTAATCAGACGCGTGCCATTATGTCTATAGCCTAAGTTACGCTGTCTCTAGAAAAAAAATTATGATATGATTCGCAATGATTCAGAACGAGCGAATGATATTATAATTATTGTTTTTTTGAAAGTGTGGTGTCTCATAGCTCGCGAGAGCGATGGCCGTACATAGCGTTGAGGTGAATAGATCTCTTGTGCTAACATTTTTTATTTTTTATTTTCATATTTAGAATAACATTTTCGATATAAATAAAATGAAGATAGAGGATATATTGTTAAATAAAAACGTCGACGCATATGATATAAGAACTGAATACTCAACATACAAAGAAAATTGAGAATTTAATGAATATTTTACATGCGAGAATCCGCTTCCATTTATTGGCAATACTCATCAAATCTTTCAAGATTTCTCTCTAGATGTGAGAAAATTACAAGTCAGCTGTGGAGATTTATGTGAATTCTATATGTCATCTCACACTTTTATTTTGTTGATTCATTGATGACTACGTTCAAATAGTTCTGAAACCGAAATGATGATTGTGAAGGTCTTATTGAAATTGGTATATTGAACACCAGTTTATCATTTAATAATAATTATACCAATTGGCAATACCATTGTAAATTCTTTACCAAAGTTATGATGCCTTCATTTATTAAACAATTTTATGACAGTCATACATAATTTTTTTTTTTTTTTTTGGAAATGGATAAATATTGAGAGAAACTTGGTAAAGATACAGTAATAGAATTTAATCATTGGATAAAATCATATTATTTTGATACCATTTTTCTTTATTATCACCAGTAAACCCACACATTCATTAGCAAATTATTATAATAAATTAACCTAGAATCAGTAGATACATTTATTTTTAGTCTTGTTTATTTCTTTTTTCTTCCAAAATTTGTTTGAGATTTCCCTGGAATTAATAAACAAACCAATACTTAAAGAAAAGAATTTGTTGGTTAAGAATAATGTAGATAATATTATTAAAGAAATTTCTAAAACACCAATAGATCGAAAATTGAAATCTGACATGCTAACGATATTTTTAACAGGAGATATTACCGAACGGGATTGCAGATGATCTTCATGATGAACCAATGTCCAATAAAAATATCAAGGCAAATTTTATAGATGTTATGGGTGGCGGTGTTGATACGGTAAACTTAACTTCTTATATGGCGATTCTAGTTATGTGTAATATTTACAAAAAAAAATAATATTTATCATTTTTTACAGGGTATTTTCTGGTTAATATTTTGGAAAATAATACGTGTGATAGAAGAAATTGAATGTGTTCTTGGCAAAGATCCATATTCTTTATTTACGCTTGAAAATTTGTCAAAATTCAAATATGTTAATACTGTCATCAAAGAAGGTAATTTACATGTCAAAATTCATTATTATTTTTATTGCTTAAGATTACCAGTGGGTGTACCATGGGTAAAATTAAATTTATGTAGATTAGGGATCGATGATAACTTCATTTCATTGATTTTTATTTTTTAACCAAATATTGTATAAATCTTTTAATAACTTTTTTTAATTTCGGCCAATCATTTTGCCACTTTGCATAGATAATGATTAACACCTGATTTCAATATTTAACCAATAATTTTGCTGGAACTAAATTTGAAATAAATTTTTAAAGTATTTTCATGTGTAAGACATTTTTTTGATAATTTATTAATAATTTTAATAAAAATTTGTATTTTTCAGCACTTTCATAATAGAAACTTGAACCTTAAGTAAACAATATAATGATTTTTTATATATTGCAGGAATTAGTAAATTTTAATAGGCAAAAACCTCCAGATAATTTTTGTTGCTGGCTAAAGTCTTCAGAGAATTTTTTATATTTTTCAAATTTGCTCATGATTTATAAAGCATAGAGTGATTTTTTACTAAGATATTTCTAAGATAGAAAAAAAGACTTTATTCTTGGTTATAAAATAATATATGTTTAATTCAGATGATATCTATATTTGCAAAAAAATTCTAGTTTAAAGAAAAATATCCATGAAAAAAATTGTACAAAAAAATTTTTGGCATAGACATTTATCTTTAAACTAGAATAACTTCGCAAATATCAATGCTATCTGGATAAAACACATATCATTTTGTAGTCAAGAACAGGACTTTCTTTCTATCTTGAAAATACCTTAATAGAAAAATCATCTATAGTTCACAAATAGCAAGCAAATTTGAAAAAACATAGAAAAAATCTTGAGATTTTTACTTTTTACAACTTTGCTCATGATTTATAAAGTGTAGAGTGATTTTTTACTAAGGTATTTTTAAGATATAAAGAAATATCTTGTTCTTGACTTCAAAATTATATAAATTTTATTCAGATAACATTGATATTTATGGAGATATTCTAGTTTAAAGTAAAACGTTTATAAAAAATCAAGTAGAAAATTTTTTTGTACAATTTTTTCACAGAAACTTTTTATTAAACTAAAATAATTTTATGAATATCAATACTATCTGAATGAAACTCATATCTTTTAAACTGTTTTGCAGACAAATTTATTCACAATTTATAAAAATTAATGTAAATCTTTTAACTATTTTTATAACTCATGTTTAACTAATAATTATAATTAATACCTGGTTATTATATTTAATAATTAATACCTGGTTACTATATTTAACTAATAATTTAGTCAAAAATAAATTAAAAAAAAATTTGAAATAAATTTTTAATTGCTAATCTGTAAGTTAATTGGTGAGATTAATTAGTAATGTAATTGGACGATCAATATATTAACATTACACAGTTACCAAAATTCCTTTAATATAGATTGGATCAAATTATCATGTAATTTTATTAAAAACTTATAAAATAATACACGGAAACTAAACAATAAACATTATTTAAAAATAAAATATTTTCGAACTTTCAATAAAAACTTTATTATATTAGATATAGAGATTTTAGAGGCTACATATATAGTGAGATTCCAAAATTTTGAAACAATGTCATTATTATTTTTTTAAAATTATTTTTTTTTCTGTCATTTTATATTATTATTATTACTACAAACAACTTCTTTATCTTTTTTATTACTGGATTTTGCTGTTTCTTCTGTTTCTTTCATTTCTTGAAAATTATTATTTAAATTTCTGATGATATTATTTCCTTCTACTAATGTCTCCACTAAATGTTTTTTCAGGCTTGCTACATATCTTGTAATCCAATTTGCAACTTTTGTTATTTCTGAAATATTCTCAACTTGAATTTCACATTTATTAGCAAGAATTTGAAGTTGTTCTACCATGTCCTTTGCTGTCATCCAATCTGTTTTATTTATATTACCTGTCAAAAAATAACTTTCAAGGTAAGATTTTATCATTTTTGTTATCTATTTTCCTGCTCCCCTTTTTCCATATTTCTGATTACTTTTTAATGTCCAACTTCTTTTCAATTCAAATGTTTCTTCTACAGCTATATTGAAAATAATATAAATAAATCAACAAATTATACTTAAAAAAACAAAATTTTATTATATCATACATACCTAATAATGAAAAAGTTTGATTATTATTATTTTTTCATTTATTTGTATCTAAAAAATAATAAAAAAAATATTTTATTTTTCATTTTCTATTTATGTAATATTTATCCTTGTATAAAATATATAATAAAAAATAAAAAATAAAATTTTTGATTATTATTTTGAACACAAGATAGTGGAAAGTTCCATGGATTTTTTGGAATCGAATGAGGAATAATTTTGGGTGTTGGTTTATTTATAGGGGTTGTAGTTAATTTTGATATTTCAAAAGGTAAAAATTGTGACCATGATCTAATATGTGGTAAGCTTTGAGCTTGTATATATCCAACATAATCACCATTAATTGGCCATTCAAAATAAAACAATTGAGTAATACTGGTAATTGTTTTAACATTATGATTATCACGAGTAGGCTCTATATTTGCAACTGATGTTCTTCCTAAATCAGATATTGCAACTTGTATTTTTTCTTCCTCATCTAAATTATGTCTAATACGAACATATCTTTTTATGACATGTGCAATCTAACAAATAAAGAAGTTATTATCTAATTTAGTAAAATATAAAATTTTCAAAACTATATAATTTTTAAAACTTACTTGAGTGTGATGAGAATTAACACTTGTTTTGGCTTCTTCAGGTTCAAGAAAATATCAACCACGAATTTCAATATTATACCATTGATACCAGTTAGCAATGGTAGTAATTAATTCAGAGTTATGGTAGCGGCACCATTATTTGATAATATTTCAATCCATTGTGGTCTTGGATCAAGAGTTTCAAAGATAAAATCAAATGATGAAACAGTAAACCAAGTATCTTGTTTAGTGTCAGTACTCTAGTAATCAAATGCTTGAACATTGAGTTGATCGATATTAGATTTTATAAATACTAAAATTGTATGCAAACTTCATTCATACTTTTCAAAGAATTGTTTTTTAGTTTCTTGTGTACTTTTAG